TGACGGTCAGAGAGAAAATAAAAAACACGACTGATAGAAAGAGTAAGAGCGAGAGCTCCATCATAGATAGGGAAGCCCTTTCACAGAATCCGTAGATTCTCTCCCTAAGAGCGGAGCCACTTGACCAGAGAGATAGACGATGTTTGCACGGGTACCCCTTGAATCAATGCATTAATTTGACGTCGGGGCTAAACCTCCTTTTGTTTGGCCCATGAGGATACTTTCACTATACTTGCTCTTCTTGCCTGCTCCTCCGTCTTTCAATAATCTGTTTGTTAGTTATTTAAGAGAACGAGTTCTTAAAATATATAACAAAACTTTCATAGAAGAAGAAGAACAGACCAATAAAGAAGAAAGATTATCAGCCTTAAGTTTTTGAAGAGGACGGTTGAATGATATTTGAATGTTCTTGAGTCTTGCTTTGAGAAAGTCTTGAAAGCAGAGGTTCGACAATAATTTTTGTAAGCATAAAGAAGAAATATGAGAAGATATATCATATTTATAGGTAGGAGGAGAGAGAAATGAAAAATAAGAGAGAGGGAAATACGACTTGAAAAGATGTGCAATGATGAAGGGTTTGCACGTCCTCATCCATAATTGGATGGAATTCCAAAGGGTCGTGTGTGTTAGAAGGACGCGCACGTCTAAAAAAATCGTATATAAATTTAAAAAAATAATGAAGTCATATAAAATATGACCGTTCATTTTCTATTTTCTTTTAAACAAAACACAAATGTTTAAGTCTTTTAAAAACAAAGGGGATCACTGAATATAGAATATTTAACATCAGTTTTTAAGAAAATATCTTTAGAAAATATACAAGTTTAAAAGATTCAGTGATAGAGAAGATCATTGAAGAATTTTACTTTTAAAACTTTTTTATCACTGAATAAGAAAAGAGTAAGTGATATTTTTGTTTTAAGAAATGACAAGTAAATATACCTTACAGATATACTTGCTTAAAAAGGTTTAGTGATAGAAAGAACATTGAAATATTTCTTTTAAAACAGATTGATCACTGAATATAGAAAGATTTAGAGATAGTTTTAAGTTTTAAAGAGAATATTAGTAAACATACCCTGGAGGGAGAATATACATTTACTCATGAGTTCAGTGATAGAGCAAGAAAACTAAATTATTTCACTTACTAAGTATTGCTTAGAGCTGGAGGAGTTAATCCTCAGCATACAGCATTTCAAATTCGTTGATCAAGATGTTAAATCTTGTTAACCTGAAGAAGTCCAAAAAAACTCAACCCGAAGTAACCTGATACATAGTTGATACAAAATTAGGCTAACCAACATCTATTTGAGTTGAAATTGAATTAGGATCATTTAAACTCAACCTGATGAAATCGACTACCTTCTGTACTATACATATATACACGTTGTTGTACATATATGCACATGGATAGAACCAAATCCCTAACCAGCGACCGTCTCCAATGTAAACCCCCCCCCCCACCAGTCCCCTCGCCCTGTGCCACCTTCCCTAGCTAATCCATCCTCCCTCTCCACCTCGTCGCTGCCGTGTTCCAATAACTCCGGTGGGTAGGTTTGTGGGGAACTTCTCAACCCTAATTTCTTTTTCCAATGCTTGTGATTCATCTTTCCGACGATAGCGTCTATTTGAATAGGCCACGGGTGGTTGTGTTCAGAAGTTTTGGAGATTGACAACATTCATGTGTTGATAATTTTGATATTTTAATCAAAATAAACGAAATAGTTTCAACTTTGACGACTCGGACGTTAGCTTTCCATTCTCAAGTATTTTTGATTATATATCGTTTGAATTGTTTAAGAAATGTTTCCTTCATCACAACCATCAAATATACAAATAATATATTTATTGTCTATTCTTTTATATATTAGTGGGTAGTTTTTTAGCTTTACATCTCAGGATGCCTTCAGCTCCCTTCCTGAACCACGTTAAGCTACTAACGTTGACGGATTGTAGAACCCATGACGAACAACAACAAAGTATACACCATAAACGATACACCATCGAGATTTCTAACAAAAAAAACCCTAAAAGCAAACAACTGGCTCTGCTATAAGAGTACAAAAGAGTTGGTGATAGATGCAAATGATCTATCAACAAAACTAGCAGCAAACCATCTACAGCCTATTAACAGCAACATGTTACTACTTACTCGTTAATGGTACTATCAACCGAGAGAAGAAAGATACCCATAAATAGTTTCTTTTGAGGCCTGCTTCAGACCTCCAAGCACAATCTCTACCCTTGAAAATGAAGAACTAAACCTTACAAAACCTAACGCCAAAATTCCGGCTCGATCCAACGGTTAACGCACCTCTGGCAATGATTGTTCGGTGACAACTTTACTATAAAAACAAGATTTTTCTCTCTTTATGCCCAAGGGTTGTATGACAGTTGTTGAATGGTTAAGTAGTCAGAATAATTAAGATGCACTTATGATATAGTGCAAAATGAAATATGATTGTGTGGTAATTATTCGGAATGAAATTATGGCGCTTAATGGTTTAGGGAAGCCAAATATACAAAATTATCCAAAGGGTTTTAAAACCATTAAGAGACGGACTTTTTTTCACCAAACAAGATTCACCTATTAACGATTCAGATGCTACCTCTTAATGAAACTATTAAAAAGTAAACAAACAGCTCCTTAGCCTCTTTTTGACTCTTCCTTGACTTAACTTGGCCTTTTTGCTATCTGGCTCTCCCTCTCCGCAATCCGGCCCCAATCGCCAAAATAATTAGATCCGCCAATCGCCTCCACCGCAATCTTCCCTCAGTCAACTTATCTGTGATAGGCACGACTCTAACACCCTTTGGTATTCTGTCAAACATAGGCTTCCATCTAAACATCTGCATTTTTGTAACTTCCGTTTGCCTATCATGGGTCTTCCTTATCGGCCAACATTCCGACCCATAGTCTAATGACTACCTGTTAGTGAATAGTAACTAGATGTTTGCTATTTGAACTCCTTTGGGTCAAAGCAAAATCTTGATCCATATAAATAAGAAATTGATGATTAGCAAAACAACAAGTAGAGCCAATTACTCCTCAATTCAACAGTGCTTAATTGAAAGCCACAGCCCACATACCTTGCTAAGCTCTGCATTCTGCAGCATGAAGGTAAGTTTTCTTATCTTTTATTTGTTAAAATGCAAGATGTTTCAATTCTGAATACCAACAAAATGCAATAGTAAAAAAAAATACCCTTCTCCTAAAACATCTGTCTAAAATTTACCAGTCAAATTGTGTATACAAAACAACAGGAGGAGGAGGGTGTAACAGCGTCAAAGGTTCGACCCTTCACCTTCCGAATCAACCCTTGACCTTCCGAGTCAACCCACGCTTGTTATACCAGACGCCATTTCTCTCACCGTTCATCTGGTTCTTAGCAGCAATCAAACACTGATCAGCCCGGCTACCTTTACTGTCGATCTCATTCTGGAGCTTCCGGCGTCTCATTCGGTTCTCGAAACGTAAAGCTCGTAAAGCGGAAACTCTTTTTTCGATTTCCAAAGCCTGCGAAAAGTTCCAAATCCTAACGGTACCCTCTTCCCCTCCACATACAATTCGGTCAGCACCAATGCCTACAGCAAAAAGACTGCACCCAGGCCCATGCAGCATTCTTTGCGGAGGCTCCACATTATTTCGGTCCGAATTGTTTCCATTTAAAGAATGTCGGATTCTATTCGGCTTCGTTTTTAACCTTCCACAATTAGTTTGGGATAAAACGCTCGTTGTTGATGAAGACCGCCGGATGCTCTTCAACAGCTTCCTCACATCAATGAGCGAAAGCTTTCCGTCACTGGAAGCTGAAACTAGCCACGGAAATTCAAATGCAAGAGAATAAACCGGACCTGAATGAGGACTCCATGTTGCTACCTGGCGCACAAAACCACATCTATGAGTCGTTATCTCAAACATACGTATTGACCCATCTTCTCCTCCGGTGAACAAGAAACTGCCCGTGTGACTTCGAGCCAGAGAATAAGTGTTACCCACGTGAGTGTCTTTGATAATATCAATAAGTGAACCAGAATTAGTACCCCAAATGTATACATCCGATCCAGAAGTGCTTACAACCGTCGTATCATGTGGCACAAGGCACCAAACCCAGTCGTTATGCATCAAAACCGTCAAACATTTCAGCAACAAACGATCCCAAATTCTTATAGTCATGTCCCAAGAGCCGCTGTAAATTCTAGAAAGATCAAGAGCAAGGCAAGTTATGGGACCTTCGTGTTCCCAAAGTCGAAACTCTGTATTCTGGTTCTGGGACCCCTTTATGTCAAAGAGATGGGGGTGTCCTTCCTCAGCTCTCCAACCATGTATAAAACCATCAGAACCGCCAGCAACCAAGAGCTTGGAATCGGCTGCAACGGCTCGGATGGTGCACCCAAGAGGTCGGGATGAAGTGATTGACAAACCATCTTCCATATCCCACATTCGAATAACTGAATCATAGCCTGAAGTAAATACAAGCTTTCTGGAAGGCAAAAGAAAGACAGTACGAACAGCTTCAGCATGACCGTAAAGAATATCAATGCTGTAACGTCCCATAAACGTTTTGCTACGGAATTCCCGTTCCACAAAAAGTTCTTTCCAAGATTTGTCATCAGAACACTCTGCGGTGAGAGAGATGGGGACTGCTGGCAGTCCCCATCTCTCGCAATAGAATTCTTTCCACACGTGGTGATCGGATGCAATTCGGTACAAAGATGGACTGACACAAGAAACTACGCCAAGTTCCTTTGGATCAAGGCAGTTAAATATTTCAGATATCAATGCTGGAGGAAGGTCAGTAATCGTTCTACGACCGTTAAACAAACACTCATCAACTGCTAACTTAGCACCACAAGGAGTGGTTATAACCCGGCTGTAGTCTTGATTCACTAAATTTCTTGGTTTACCAGACTCAGTAATTACAGTTTCTGAATCAAAGAGCAAACTCTTTCCAGATGAAACAATATGACTTGGTTTAACTTCGATTGTATCCTCTGAATTCTTTGTCAAATATATCTCTGTGCTCACTTTGCATTCAAATGCCATAAAATATCCCCCCTAATATTACACAAACCAACAAATACTCTCTGGTTAAAATAACTTCAATTCAATCCAGCACCCTGTTACCCAGAAATATATGGGTAATTTCTGATGTGAAATGGGTAATTTCCGAGTCCAATTCTAAGACGAACTCAGGCAGAAACAATAATTGCATCAAACATGTATAAACAAGTTAGTACCGCATTGGTAACAAAATATAATTTAAACATATCACGATTTAATCTCTAAAATGGAACTCCCGAATAAGAACCCTAACACCCAAACCTAGATATTTACAATAAAAAACCAAATCCAACAAGAAGGCAAGTGGGCGAAAACCATCAAATTGAATTAAGGTAAACACAAATAACGTATTACTAAAACGATTATAAATCAAAGAACATGAACAAACCCATACAAGTAATTCAATTTCAATCAAGTATCGAGAAATAAATACAAATTACGAAGGTTACCTGCGAAAGAAAGTAGGGTTACGAGGGAACAAGAATAAGGAGGAAGGAATGGAAAGGGGGGGAAATCCAACGCAATAAGCAAACAGATTCAGAATGAGGTATGAATCAAAGGGAGGAAAGATTAATGGTTTTAGAGGTGTGAGTTCCAAGCGGAAGGAAGGGAAGGTCGGTAACAAATTAAAAAGTGAAAAATAGATCTACTCATATTTCTCACATAATTAAAAACAAAATTTTAAAATATTTTTTTAATATGAAAATTCTGAGAAAATGGTGGTATGGATTATGGTTTATCATCTTAATACAAATTTATCTGAATTCTATCGATTATTTTTTAATTTAAAAAGCTATTTTATTGTTTTATTTTACTTTGTTTTGGATTGTTTATTTTTTAGGCAAAAAGTTAATTATCGTAATCTTAATCGGTTTTATACGGAACCTGTCTCTAAGGAAACTAATGTCGGAAAGTATTTCATGGCTCACTCGATGATCAAGGCTAGTGATTCCAAGGGATTGATCCAAGATTTGTGTTGTATTTGAAACAAAATTACCTCCTTATTTTACCAACTGAACTAGGTGTGTTAATTGTTTATTGTAATTATGGTTATTTAAATAAATATGTGTGTTGGAAAGTCATTGTTGTAAATCTTTGTTACAAAAATGTGGACATTTTGGAAACATTATAATTAGATCCACATTTAGGTGTGAAGGATTAGTTGATCCTGAATTGCAATGACTTATACATGATGTGTTTATCGAAGGGGGTTGAATACACACAACAAACTTTCATTTGTAATTCTATATTTTATATTAAAATAGATTTGTTATGGGAGCTAAGAAGATAAGACCTGATCTTAAATAATCAGACAGATGACAAATTTCCTAACAACTAAAAGAGAAAGAGAAGAAGATACTCTTTAAGATCTGAAGTACTTAGATAGTCTTTTAGATTGGGATGTCGATTATGCCTAAGAAAGTATCAGACCAATTTTGCCTAACAAACTATCACTCAGAAGTTCTTTGAAAATGGGTGGGTTGCAACATAGGACAAGGATGACTTTTTTATAGTCATCATTGCATTAAATGTTGTTTGTCAACTTTAACATGTGTCTTTATCTGTCTTTATCTACTTGGTGATCCATGCATACTTATACTCTTCATTTCAGTCTTTGAAGTTGATGTAGATACTTGTTAACCTAACCCATCCCTTTGTATGCAAAGCGAACAGTAAAGTATGATACTAATTAAATAGTACTTTAGAACTTATTTTGTCTGACATGTTGAACATGTTCTCATACCAGAATGAGAGTTGGTGACCCAAACTTACTCGATAAGTTTATACTCCAAAATTCAACTTGTCAGAAGTAGTATTTGTCAAACTACTATATGACTTTATCTTGTATTGATCTTTTTCCGGCTAGATGACAATCTAATCCGTTTTGGCGATGAATTATATCTATTCTAAAATATAAGCTATAAGCGGATTCCAACTTAAATTATTTACGAAATAGGAACATTGGATGCAAAAATTAACTTTAGAACAATTTGTGGGTTCTTGAGAATCAAAACTGAATGATGAATTAATGGATTGATCAAATTATTCCATTCGGATGAAAAATTATCAAATTTGAGGTTTGATCCCATCATACTATATAAGCTACAGATCCGATAGTGACTAAGATATGAAACTTTGAACCAATAAATTCATTTATAATGTTGTGTTCGAATGATAGTACTATCTGTTAGATCCGATACAAGATGTATATCAGATATAACGGTTACAAGACAAGTATTAAGAATTTTCTCTTCTAAATGTTGAGTTGGATGCTAGTTTTATTATTTTACAAATTCAATGGTTGAGACCAAAAATCTCACCCTATTTGCAATAATATAAATAGATAGCCGAAATAAAAACACTTAAAAAACGGTACTGAAACTCATAAGCGAAATAACAATCTCCAAACTCATAAATTTAGTGTCATTTTGGATTCTTTTTGCATTTTCTCTTTTTGATATCATTTCTTTTGAAGGCTTTTTCTTTTTTTTCATTTTCCTTTTTTTTTTCTTTCATTATTTTCTTTATTCGAATTACAAGACAAGATAAAAGGAAACGCATAGATAAACATGCAAAGATATGATGTAAAAATATTTTGATTGTATCTTAGATTTTATCTACATAAGATAAGATACAATCAGAACGTGATTACATAAAATCATGCATATCGTCGTTTTTTACTTGGATGTTGAAGACGAAGATGATTTGTCCTTTGTTTCTTCTGAATGTCATCTTTCCTAGCCTTCCTCTCGACTAACTCATCTTCGTAAGCCATTTTTCCTTTTCCTTTGTCTAGTTCATTTAGATCAGGAATTGGATTCTGAACTTCCTTTTGCTCCCCCTAACTTGTCTGTCGGTTATCTTCAATTTGCTCCCCTTCAACAGTTGGGTTCATTTTTTTCTTTCCTTTATGTATGTTGTTGGAATGATTAGACCTTGATTTTCCCCCTCATCAGCAGCAGATTATTTCCTGAAACTTTTCAGTCTGAATTATTCTGGTATGATCCTCGAAGGACACTGAATGAGAAGAAGGGTATGATCTTTGAATAGTGCTTGAACCATTAAGTTTTGATCAAGTACTTTGGAATGAAGTTGTTCCAAAGGGATAACAAAAACAATGAATTAGGCTAGTGACCATTTCTCCAAGTCTTTTCTCGAAAGTGGAATGTGCATCTTGTAGTGCAGAGATTTGTCTTTTAATCTCCTCAAATTGGTGAGATAAAAAGAGTGGTGGAGTTGTAGTATTAGAAGAATTAATCGGAGGAGAATGTGACGGTTGAATATCTGATCGTTGAAAAGTGGAATTTGAGTTAAAGAGATGTTCTTCAAATAATAAAGGATACATGGGCCTAGAAAGAAGATTTCGAATCCGGAGGAAGTCAGAAGAGTCTAAATCAGCACTATTTATATATTGAGATATAGTAGTTGCATTATGGTTAGGATCTGATCTTTCAACAATGTCTTGTGGAGAGATCATTTAGGAGATGGCTTGGGGTTCGGATGCCAGGGGTCGGGAGTGGCTATTATAAATGGCTCTAGAAGGTGAATAAATATCTGATGGGTTAAGATAGATCCTAGAAGTATTTATGAGCATTGGTGATGTCCTAGAAGTATTTATGAGCATTGGTGATGCATCATACTTGGTTTTGGGCTTAAGCCTTCGTTCTATTCTACTTAATGAATGTTGTGAGATTTGGGGAGATGCCAATGGTTCAATTGGCATCACAATCTTAGAACAAGAGATAGGAACAAATGATTGACCAATAAAAACAAGATTTTAATCTAACAATGACTGAATCCTAAGATTAATATCAGAATTGTCAGATTAAGTTCTTGATTTTTTGTTGGATTTTTGAGTAACTGAAGAAGATGATCGTTCTTGAAATTGTATTCTAGTTAGAGAGCAATTTTGGCATTAAGAAAGAGTCTAGTTGTTTCTCTAGTAGACCAATCATTCCATAGAAGACCATTTGTTCTAGAGAAAACAACTATACCTGTCGAAATTATAGGATCTGAAGGGAGAGCTTTAGTATGGACGGATTGAAATGACAAGTAGTTCGAATAAGCATCAAATGGAGGGAATCTTGTTTTCCAGCTTGTCAGCAATCAGTAGTGAAAGAATTCAGATGTAGGGCACTTATTTTTGTTTTCTTTTGGTAATGATCTTCTTTACCAAGTCTTTGAAGAAATATTTTCCAAAGTTGATATTCCTTTGGAAAATAAGTACATGAGCCAATATGTTGATGTAGATTGGAGACTGATCAAATCCACCAATTTTACTATTGATGTAGTAGGTCAATTTAGAGAAGTAGTACCATACACTGCTCAAGTTCCTTTAAAAGAGAGTATTGGTGGCATATGTGGAAGGATCAGCAAATCAATATTCAATAATAGAAAGAACTTCTTCAAGTTCTTTGTTTGAGGTTAGGTCTTCAAACACCATGGCATTGGAAGAAGGTAGATGTTAGACACTAACAATGTCATCAACATTGAAGGTGAGGTCTTTTTTAGAGAGAACACTTGCGGTAACTTATTTTGTTTTAACATCATAAACACAAGAACACTAGAAGTTTCCCAAAAGAATGGTGCTCGTCTTTGGAGAAACGGATAAGGCATGCGAGAGTGGACTCTTGGAAAGAAAGTCCATCATGATATGATGTTGAGGGTACCTTCACATTTAGAAAGGTATGAAATGTAGTTCATACCTTTGATTTAACATTTGTTAGTGTTGAAATAAATGTTTGGTGAAGAAGAATCTTGAAAGAAGATCATCAATGAAGAGAAATTATGAAAATGAAGGTGGTTCGGACACGTGGACAATAAGGTCAAAGAGGTTGACGATCGATGAAAGTAACTTTGCAGAATAAGAAACGCATTTATGAGGTGATTATAGGTGAAGAATAATTATGAGTTTAGGGTCAAAGTAGTAGTTGAATAGACACTTTAGACTTGAGAGTTGTGTTGACTCTTCGAATACTAACACATAATCATGATTATAGCTAAGAGATTATCACAAACCTTTGGTTTTCTTAACGAATAGGAGAAGATTTGAAAAAGATGTTGGAGAAATCGAATAGATAAAGTATCTGAATAAGAATTATACCAGATATTGAATTTAGAGTATCTGATCAACATGACTCCGATAAGGATGATTAAGAGGAGTCGGAATGCAAGAATCGAATTTGAGTGATTGGAAGGAATCCTAATCATCAATCTGATAACAAATCTGAGAAAACCTGATTGATCAATGAAATCCGAAGGATGAATTTTGAGTTACCATTCAATTTTTTAGATGAGAGACCGTACCTGAGATTTTCAATCAAAGTTGTTAATGTAGAGATCATACCTGAGATTTTTGGATTAATATACTTTGGATTAGCATACTTCATATCAATAGAATATCCTTTATCTTATTTCTCAAGACATCTAAAAGGAAAGGTTTAGAATAAAATTCAATGAGATGATCCGTTAACATATAACATGATCATTCATATCATTTTAGTTTTCAACATTTAACATTCCTAATTCACTATTAGAAACTTG